CATATGACGTGAATGCATCACTTAGGCATAACGGAAGCATGATCACCTACAAAAAGAATCGTAAGAAGGGGGTCAACACAACGGTTGAATAAGCGCAATTAATCGAAGATAAATTAATGCGATATAATCCCACAAAATCATTTGAAGAAGATAGTCGAATAAAATGACACGTATCACATAAGGGGAACTCACACACATGAGTCTTTTAGCACCTCCCTTATACCTCATTTTCATTCTCAAATAATAGCGATGAGCACATCACGAAGAAAACTCCACTAGGCCTTAATCAGGGCCGGCTCGACCCGGTTTTCCGACCTTATTACTTCGTATGACATGTCACATAATTTCAAATAACAAACATAGGGTCATAACCCTCAAAGGAAACTCCACAGTGTGTACATAAGGGTTCGAAATCCAAAGTACAAGTAAATCAATTTATTATTAGTTGACGAGGGGCGCCATACGACCCACAACCCTCTAGTCTCCAATAAAACATACCAAGAGGGGATTGTACGCAATCTATCCCTCCATCACGGATGACGGTCTAAAGACCTTTCCATCGTGAATGACGGGCACCTCGGAATCACCCTAAAAGGGAACCCGCCATCTCGATCCCTCGACCTAGCCCATTCGGGATCTAGTTCAAGGTTAGATAGTTATCCTAAAATACCGGTATACCCTTACGTGTTTGCAAGGCACAGAGGTGGAAGGCTATGCCTTACCATCCAAACAATCGACGAGTTGATCGGACTCGACGGGTAGTTTCAATTACCAATTTGACCAAATACTCAACATGCTCTTAGGCAAATTTCAAAAAAAGTGTTTTAAACTCAAAATATTCCAATTGGCAACATTTAATCGATCAAAAGTAGGATATTAGACCCAACAAGTTCGTTATAATTTCACTTTATTTCACCAAATAAACATTCGAAAAATATTTCAATCAAAATGGGCATGGTCTAATTCCAAAAATCATGATATTTAAATATAATCGTAAATCCTTTTCCAAAAACCATAACTAGGTTAGGGAAAAACTAAGGTTTCAAACCCATCCCATAAATTATATGCTTTTCAATTTAAAATGCAATAATAGTCTTCACATAAACATTATAATCAACTTCCTAGAAGAAATCGGCAAAATCTAACACTTTTGGGGGCAAACCCATTTGACAAGAATATTGAACAAGATATCAATAGAAGGGTCTAGGGATTAGAACATATGAATCTATCTAAGATTAATCCCACTTACCTCAAGAGAAGAGACCAAAAGGAAGAATTTTGGAGAAGAAGAACTCCAAGGGAGAGCAGGGGCTGGCGGCGGCGCTGGCGAGTGTGCTGGCTGCTGCTGCTGCTCCTTTTTTTTTTATTTAACATAACATACTTAGTCCTTTATTAATTATTTTATTCTATTTTGGCCCAAACTCAATTTTTAATTCTAATTTAAACTCAACTCTTTAATTTATTACACTAAAAGACCAAAATAAATCATGCCCAAAATGAAATTTGTCCGACTCCGGCAAACTTTCGGCGATTATTTTACGGGGTATTACATCCTTCCCCCCTTAGGACATTTTGTCCTCGAAATCGATTTGCACGCCCGGAGCTACCTCAAACAACTCTGGTTACTTTTCTCGCATTTCTTGCTCGGTTTCCCATGTCGCTTCTTCAACCCCATGCCACGACCACACTACCTTCACCATCTTTATTTTACGGTTCCGCGTCGATATAACTTTGAAAGCCACTATCTGAATAGGTTGCTCTGAGTACACCAAATCCTCCTGAAGATCCAAGACTTCCGGCTGAAGTATATGAGATGGGTTAGCCACGTATCTCCTTAATTCAGAGACATGAAAAACATCATGAACCCTCTTCAATGCCTCCGGCAAAGCCAACTTGTAGGCCACCTCTCCAATCCTTTCGATTATCTCGTACGGCCCTACATACCTCGGGCTCAACTTTTCATTAATACCAAATCTCCTCACACCCTTCGTCGGTGAGACCTTAAGTAATACATGATCACCCACCTTAAAATGCCCATCCCTCCGAGCAAGGTCGGCATAACTCTTCTGGCGATCTTGGGCGGCTTTCATCTTAGCCTTGATGTTACGAATCTGATTCATCATCTACTCAATCATTTCGGGCCCCAATACAACCCTTTCGCTTAGGTCACTCCAACACAACGGCGTTCTACATTTCCTCCCATACAAAGCCTCAAAGGGTGCCATCCCAATGGTCGCTTGATGGCTATTATTGTAGGAGAACTCCACTAGAGCCAACTGATCCTCCCATTGGCCTTGAGAATCCAATGCACAAGCTCGCAACATATCTTCCAAAATCTGAATGGTGCATTCAATCTGCCCATCGGTCATCGGATGAAAGGCCGTACTCATCCTTAACTGAGTACCGAACTCTTTCTGAAGCTTTTGCAAAAAATGCGACTGAAAACGGGTGTCGGGGTCCGAGACAATCACCTCCGGAACTCCATACCTCTTCACCACGTGCTGGATATACAACCTTGCCAACTCCTGCATGCTCCAAGTCATGTTTATCGGGATAAAAACTGCTGCCTTAGTCAATCGATCAACAACTACCCAAATGGCATCCGCGCTTGATCTCCACTTTGGTAATCCGGTCACAAAATCCATAGCAATCGAGTCCCACTTCCATTCCGGAACTTCCAACGGTCTCAACAAACCCATAGGTCTCTTATGCTCCGCCTTGACCTTTTGGCAATTCAAACACTTGGCGACATACTCTGCAATGTCTCTTTTCATACCGCGCCATCAAAAATGTCATTTCAAATCTTTATACATCTTATCGCAACTGGGATGCACTGAATATGGAGAACTATGAGCTTCTTTAAGTATCTTTTCCTTAATATCCAACCGATCCTTGGGCACACACCATCTGTCTCGAAATCTTAGGCTTCCATCCCGACCAACATGGAATTCGCTTATTTCACCTTGTTGCACCTTTATCACTAAGTTGAGTAAATCATCGTCAACAACCTGAGCCTCCCGAATCTCCCTCAAAATCTCCGGCTCAACTGACAAGGCACCCATATATCCTTCAATCATCTTAGGACCCACTACCTCAATTTGCAGATTCTCGAACTCATGACACAACTCTACGGGTAATGTCATCGAACATACGTCATGACTTGACTTCCGACTCAAAGCATCAGCAACCACATTCGCCTTGCCTTCCTGATATAAAATATCCAAGTCATAGTCCTTTACTAATTCCAACCACCTCCGTTGTCTCAGATTCAACTCTCTTTGAGTGAATATGTATTTCAAACTCTTATGATCGGTGTAAATCTTGCAATGAACTCCGTAAAGGTAATGTCGCCATATCTTGAGAGCAAACACGACAGCCGCCATTTCCAAGTCGTGAGTTGGATAGTTCTCTTCATGCGATTTAAGCTGCCTCGAAGCATATGTTATCACCCTTCCATCTTGCATCAACACGCACCCCAATCCTCGTCTTGACGCATCACAATACACATCGAACTCTCGGCCATCTATCGGCAATGCCAATACCGGTGCAACTGTCAACCTCCGTTTCAACTCTTGAAAAGCTTGTTCACAAGATTCGCTCCACACTACTTTAACATTTTTCTTCAACAACGATGTCAATGGACTTGCCAATCGTGCAAAGTCTTGCACAAACCTCCGATAATACCCGGCCAACCCCAAAAAGCTCCTAATCTCTGTCTGCGTCTTTAGTCGGGGCCAATTTTCAATAGCGCTCACTTTTGATGGGTCAACCGAAACACCATCCCTTGAAATAACATGCCCCAAAAATGCTACTTCACTCAACCAAAATTCACACTTAGACAGTTTAGCATACAAGTGATGCTCCCTCAATACTTGTAGCACTAACCTGAGGTGATTTGCGTGATCCTCCTCGCTCGAAGAATACACCAATATATCATCAATGAAGACCACAACGAACTTATCCAAATATGGTCTGAAGACTCTATTCATCAAGTCCATGAAGGCAGCTGGAGCATTCGTCAACCCAAATGACATCACTGTAAACTCATAGTGCCCATAACGAGTTCGAAACGCTGTCTTCGAAATATTGCTGTCTGAAATCCGAAGCTGATGATATCCCGACCTCAAATCTATCTTCGAGAATACGCTTGCTCCCTTCAGTTGATCAAAGAGGTCTTCGATCCTTGGAAAAGGATACTTATTCTTAACGGCAACTTGATTTAATCCTCGATAATCAATGCACAACCAAAGACTACCATCCTTCTTCTTAACAAATAGAACGGGCGCTCCCCAAGGAGAATTACTCGGCCGGATATACTCTTTATCCAACAACTCTTGAAGTTGCTCATTAAATTCGGCTAACTCCTTAGGTGCCATACGGTAGGGAGCCTAAGACACCGATTATGCTCCTGGAATTATATCAATCGTGAAATCTATCTCACAGTGAGGCGGCATACCCGGTATCTCATCAGGAAATACATCCGCAAACTCTTTTACCACCGGCATGTTCAAAAGCTGACTCTCATCTCCCAAGACATCGTGCACTTCACATAGGAACAACGGGTGACCTTTACGAGTTAACTCATGCAGAGAGACAACTGACACTATCTTAATCGATGGGCGATAAGGAATCTCCTCATACACAACTTCTCCACCGCAAGGGCTCCGAAGAAAGATCTTCCTCCCACCACAATCTATTCGGGCCTGATAGGTAGCCAACCAATCCATACCCAAAATGATATCGAACTCCGCCAATTTAAGCTTCAAAAGATTAGTAGGGAATTCTATGCCTCCGATCATTACAGACACTCCTACGAAAAGACAATTGCAAGGCACTAGCTCTCCTAAAGGTAGCCTAATCTCCACCGAAACCTCTACTCGAGAATCTAATTCTAACCTCTTAGCACATCTACTCGATATGAAAGAAAGGGATGCACCGGAATCAAAGAGAATAACCACAGGTAAATAATTCACCAAGAACGTACCGGTCATAACGTCTCCCTAGTTCTCCACAACTTGCCCTCTCGTCATGACATTAATGTGACCTTTCTGGCCACTCCTTCCCCCTCCTCTTGCACGCTGAGGTGCCAATGGCAGTGTACGACCTTGCTGCTGTGGAACCGGGGTCCTCTCAAATGCATTCGGAGCTCCAACTAACTTGGGGCAAAACCTCTTAACATGTCCCGGCTCATGGCAGTAATAGCAAGTGATGGGTTGGCAGTCACAACGAACTCCAGGATGAGATTTTCCACATCTGCTACAAATAGTCGGACCTCCACGATTGTCACTCGAATTCCCCTGAGTGAATTTAGGGCGAGATGCATAGGGTGTACCCGAAAACCTCTCCGATTGATCCTTTCGCTTATAGTTCTTCAAACCCTCGCTCACCTTCCCTTTCCCTCTATCTGCCATGCGGGCTCCATCCCTCCGCTCATCATACGCTTTTCGATTTGCCCGATAGATGTTAGCTGCTTTCTCGTACGCTTCTTGAAGGGTCGACACACTGAAGCCGGCTAAGAACCGCTGAAGGTCTCTATTCAGTCCACCAACAAATCTTGTCAGTTTGCACCGATCATTCGCTGCCAAATCCGGAGCGTAGTCAGCCAATTCATTAAAACGCGTGAAGTATTCTTCCACCGTCATATTGCCCTGCACCAAGGCACTAAACTCATCCTCCTTTGCTCTCTGAATGTGCGGAGGATAAAAGCGCGCCCTTATCATCGTCTTGAATGCATCCCACGGTAATCCAACCAAATTGCTCCCGGAAGCCTTCTCATTATTCCACCACTTCTTGGCTAGTCCTTCTAAATAATATGCAGCTATCATCGTCTTCTCTCCTTCCGGGCATTTCACCACCTCAAATATAGTCTCCAAACGATCCAACCATTCTCCCAAAATAGTCGGGTCCGATTGACCCGTGAAAGCCGGAGGACTATGACGTAACACCGCATCCATAGCACTCCGGGGCTACTGAGTGAACTGTCCCAAAAACTGACGAAAGATCTCCAAAGTCGGGTCTGACGGTTGAACGGGATCCTGAACTGGAGGCTCGGGATTTTGGGATTGCCTACTCTCAACCTCTTCATCGGAATCAGGTACCACAGGTGGCTGACGAGCACGCCTAGGGAGATCTTGCTAATTGAGACTAGACCTAATAAGCTCCAATTAGTCAGATAGCATGAACAATACACATAAACATATGGAATAAACATAAAATGCAATGCATGCCATGAATGCACCCAAACCCGACTAAGCCCATGATCTAATTGCTTTTAGAAATTTTGAAATCTTCAAGTTTTAATAACCAAGAAGTATGAGCCTTTAACTTGGCTCTGATACCAACTGTAACACCCCGGCCAGCTCAAACCGGAGCGTCACCGCCACACCACACCGGAAGGCTCGTTCATCAATCAACGAGTCCTACGTTGTGGCGCTAAGGCTTAAATAATAAATACCAACAACTAATAGGAACTTAGAATTAAAGTGCACTAGTTTATCAATTAACTAAATAAAGTTCTTTTTAAAACCATATATTGGAAATAGTTCAAATTGCATTAGTCTTTAAACACAATCAATGAATTTCAAAACATTTTAGACGGTAAGGTAATTCTCATTTCCCCCGATGGATCATATGACGTGAATGCATCACTTAAGCATAACGGAAGCATGATCACCTACAAAAAGAATCGTAAGAAGGGGGTCAACACAACGGTTAAGTAAGCGCAATTAATCGAAGATAAACTAATGCGATATAATGCCACAAAATGATTTGAAGAAGATAGTCGAATAAAATGACACGTATCACATAAGGGGAACTCACACAAACGAGTCTTTTAGCGCCTCCCTTATACCTCCTTTTCATTCTCAAATAATAGCGATGAGCACATCACGAAGAAAACTCCACTGGCCTTAATCAGGGCCGGCTCGACCTGGTTTTCCGACCTTATTACTTCGTATGACACGTCACATAATTTCAAATAACAAACATAGGGTCATAACCCTCAAAGGAAACTCCACAATGTGTACATAAGGGTTCGAAATCCAAAGTACACGTAAATCAATTTTTTATTAGTTGACGAGGGGCGCCATACGGCCCACAACCCTCTAGTCTCCAATATAACATACCAAGAGGGGATTGTACGCAATCTATCCCTCCATCATGGATTACGGTCTAAAGACCTTTCCATCGTGAATGACGGGCACCTCGGAATCACCCTAAAAGGGAACCCGCCATCTCGATCCCTCGACCTAGCCCATTCGGGATCTAGTTCAGGGTTAGCTAGTTATCCTAAAATACCGGTATACCCTCACATGTTTGCAAGGCACAGAGGTGGAAGGCTATGCTTTATCATCCAAACAATCGACGAGTTGATCGGACTCGACGGGTAGTTTCAATTACCAATTTGACCAAATACTCAACATGCTCTTAGGCAAATTTCAAAAAGAGTGTATTAAACTCAAAATATTCCAATTGGCAATATTTAAGCGATCAAAAGTAGGATATTAGACCCAACAAGTTCGTTATAATTTAACTTTATTTCGCCAAATAAACATTCGAAAAATATTTCAATCACAATGGGCATGGTCTAATTCCAAAAATCATGATATTTAAATATAATCGTAAATCCTTTTCCAAAAACCATAACTAGGTTAGGGCAAAACTAAGGTTTCAAACCCATCCCATAAATTATACGCTTTTCAATTTAAAATCCAATAATAATCTTCACATAAACATTATAATCAACTTCCTAGATGAAATCGGCAAAACCTAACACTTTTAGGGCAAACCCATTTGACAAGAATATTGAAAAAGATATCAGTAGAAAGGTCTAGGGATTAGAACATATGAATCTATCTAAGATTAATCCCACTTACCTCAAGAGAAGAAACCAAAATGAAGAATTTTTTAGAAGAACTCCAAGGGAGAGCAGGGGCTGGCGGCGGCGCTGGCGGGCGTGCTGGTTGCTGCTGCTCCTTCTTTTTTTATTTTATTTTATTTTTTAATTTAACGTAACATACTTAGTCCTTTAGTAATTATTTTATTCTACTTTGGCCCAAACTCAATTTTTAATTCTAATTTAAACTCAACTCTTTAATTTATTACAATAAAAGACCAAAATAAATCATGCCCAAAATGAAATTTGTCCGACTCCGGCGAACTTTCGGCGATTATTTTACGGGGTATTACAGGGGGAATTTTTTTTTATAATCTAATAAAAATAAAATAAGAAAGCAATTAAATTAATGGAGAATTAGCTCTTAAGGGATGTTTGGCTCAAGGGATGATGCAGTTATGACACTTGTCTTTTATCATTGATTCAATAAAGATAGTTCTTATTAAAGTATCAATAAATTGGTTATAGTTACCAACAAGCTCTGACAACCAATTTTTCTTAACAGTGTAGGTAATTAAGGTACGACCGTTAACTACCTCTAATTTAAGCAAATAAACCTAGGTGGCCCATAAAAAATATTGTTTAATCGCATTCTAATCTAGAAAAACCCAATTCAAAACAATTACTACCTAAGATGAGCAATTAGATTTGATTGTCTAACCCCCGGGAAGGAACTATTCAACTCGGTTGTCAACTATTCAAGTGCGAATACAATTACAGATATCCTACATAAATTGACTTTATATTATCAGACTAATTCAAATATTGGTACCAAAATATTCAATCAATCAAACAACCAAAAACGTTATTCTCAAAATTAGACAAATATTGATAATTAAAAAGAACTATTATAAAGAAAATTAGGAATCTTCAAAACAAAAGAACCAAAACGATATCACTCCTCAAACCAGAAAAGTATCTACTCCATAATCAAATAACAAATAACAAAAGATAAAGATAAAGTCATAGTGGGAGGGGAAATCTTCTATGTTGATTTACTCTTGCGCGATCTATGAGTATGTCAGTCTTCTGCTCTTGTACGTATCTGCTCTGGCTGTTCTCTCCTCCCTTCTACGTGTGATCATCTCCTTTTATTTAATTTTTGCCCTAATTATTTTGTAGCTGGGCTTTTGAGCCTTTAATTAAATTCTCATGTCAGGAGGGTATAGTTAGTCATGTGCATGACTAACCAGGAGGTGTAAATCTGAATTTTTCTTTACTTTTTCTGCCAATTATGTCAAATTTTATATTTGCCCTCTGCACACAACAAATAAACAATACGTATATAAATTAGGTAGAATCCAATCAAAATCATTTCAAATATCACATATGATATGCACATAAAACGCATGTGATTTCTAACTATCAAATCTCCCCACACCTAAACTATGCTTGACCTCAAGCATAGATTCGCAATAAGCCAAAGAAATCGCAAAGGACTCAATATGACAAGAGAATCCAACACAACCAATTCAATCCGAAATCCAACACATCAAGCCAAGTCAACCTCACAAGATAAAGTGTTTTCACACATGCTCTCTGAAGGAATGAAATGTATGATTGGCTCAACACTCAAGTAGTGCAACAAAAGATTATCCTATAGGCTTGACTAAAAATCAAATCTCCCTTGCTTAAAGTATTAGAATCTAACATAAAGAATCAAATGGACTTTCAATAAGGGTTGTAGTGGGGCTTATGGTTAGGGGTAGGAAAAGGATAAACAACGGCTAAGTATGTCAAAAAAGAATACATTAAGAACACGATGCTAGCACATGCTAAACAAATCGGCAAAAACAATGAAATCCTTACTTTATTCATTACCCAAACTTCAATAATATAATTAAATAGAAATACTTCATCAAGATGATTATTTTATTATTTATTTAGTTATTATTTATTTAATTTTTTTTTGTATATTTTTTTTTTGGCTTTTGCCTTTATATATATATACTTTCACTACCAATAATTATTCCTTCATACTATGACTTATTCGTACCCAAATTTTGTTTCTAACTAGTGCCGAAGAAATAAAGTGCATCACAACATGGACTTAAAGTAATTCTTTCTAACATAGGGTTCAAATCGGAGAAGGCTTAATCAAAAGAAGGGTATGAGGCTAAAAGACAGTTTATTATAAAAGAAAAAATAGGCTAAGAAGGCTCAAATGGGCTAACTAGGGGAATATATTGTGCTGGATAATAAAGAAAGGCTTAATGGGGTTATCTAATGCCCTTATCATTTTCAAAACACAAGACTCAATAGTTGCAAATTCAATATGCATAATCACTCAAGTTCTAGGTCGTCTAATTGCGCACTACAAATCGCACATGAAAGAAATTTCCAAAAGCTTAAATGTATACAATTTATTCTCTAATGTAACTTTTGGAACATAGGCTCAAATCTCACATGGTTCAAACATCGACTTGACTCAACATATCACCAACCAAATGTCATTAGTCATGCCAAACTAACCTATCACATAAAACACCTTTGACTAACTTCAGACAAATCTCAAAAACATGTGAAAGGACAACAAATCAGACATAAAAAGTAGCCAAAAAAATTGAAAATTTTGCCCAAAAATTTGCGTAACTCCTCTCCCCACACCTAAGATATGCAACTCAATGTAAAGAAAGAAGAATGAAAATAGAAGGAAGAGAAGGGGAGAGTAATGCTTCCCTGGTTTGACGAGCCGATTTCAATCGGTGCGGGGGATGAGTGAATGGATCATTAGCTTTAGCTCGAAGAGGGTTGCAGTCACCTCAGTGCAAAACGTGGAATTCTTAGCTCAGAGGGCAGAAAGTTCAGTTTGTTGGTGCCCGAGTGCAGCTCGCAAGTGATCAAATTGTGTCTGGAAGTCATGAGAGGGGGATGCGGGTGCATCGGAATCAAGGGCAGGGAGGTCTGGAGAAGGTGGAGATCCACAGACCGGTGTGCCGGCGAAGAACCGAGTCCCATAGGAGTCTGTAACCAATTTCATTGCCTTTAGACAGGGGATATCCAGTGGCGTCATCGAGCAGGCCCTGTGAAGAGAAAAATAAGTAAGATACTCAATAGAAA